TTTCTCTCTCTCTCTCTCTCTCTGTCTCTCTCTTTCTTTCTCTTTCTTTCTGTCTTTCTATCTTTCTGTCTGTCTGTCTTTCTTTTGTTCTTTCTTTCGAAGAGACAAGTATTGTTTCTTGATGTCTGATTGTGTTTGTCTTGATCCCTATTTGTTTTTTAGTTGATCCCTATGTGTGTTATTTTTGATCCCTCTCCCCCCTTAAATCCCCTTAAGACATGCTGCTAGGTAGCATACATCTTGCAGATCTTGAGGTTACCCTCCTTCTCTTCAAAAGATTAACTTTTGTGTTTTGGTGCGTTGCGGGTCTCCAATTTTGGGTTCCTTCGCTCGCGCATGCTCGATGACTGCGACCGGGGGTTGTCACAACACACCTCACGAAAAGGACATACGCGGCAAAACTCAGGCGTTTGGAGATACGTCCATGGTGCACAAAAGGCTTCAGGTGGATGACAAACACATACTCCCCAAAAAAGAACAATGAAAGCGGAACTTGCGTTGGAACAGTTCCCCTTCTCAAACAATCCTCAGGAGCTTCTGACAGAGACAATCCGAATCCATGTTTCACACGTCGTCCAGCTCATTCCCTTCGCATCGGTCACAGGTCCAAGTGCCCGAGCTTCGGATATTCACCGGATCCGGGCTGGGAGCTGCCTCAGCGATCCGCTGCGTGTTTGACTCGGTGCAATGATTGGGTCAAGTCGCTTCTTCACTCTCTTCGATTTGTTCCAAAGACTGCATGTGAACACACACGTGATTGTTGCATGCCCCGTGTTCGGGTGTGCAATACCTTCCACTGTGAAGGATGATACTACTACTACTACTACTACTGCTGCTACTACTACTACTCCTCCTACTGCTACTACTACTACTACTACAGTACTCCTACTGCTACTACTACTACTACTACTACTACTCCTACTGCTACTACTACTACTACGACTACTACTACTACTCCTACTGCTACTACTACTACTACTCCTACTGCTACTACTACTACTACTACTCCTACTGCTACTGCTACTGCTACTACTACTACTACTGCTACTACTACTACTACTACTGTTCATATTCTGGGTCCAAGCGAAACGCTTGAGGCATCTTGAGGCAATTTACTCCATTGACCAGTTTCAGACGTGTACCGAGAGGTGTTTACTTTCTATGGCCTTTGGCGTTGACTGTGCCTACGATACAGTCTTCAAATAGGTCTCTACATGTCTCTAAACGACTCGGAAAGAACTCTATTTGCCCACCACAAGCGCCCCACGGCTCACACTTCCAGTCGGTGGGAATGCCCGGTTTGTTCGTTGCTCGAACCTTCGCGGTGTCATTAGCGGGTCTTCGCAGGTGTTCGATCCACTTCTGACACTGATCTATGAACACTCTCCCTCAGTTTCCCCTTTAAAATAGGAGTTGACCCTTTATATCTTGTTTCCTTCTTCCACCAGTAAAACGATCCGCGGATTGGCAAGGAGCATGGCGGCCTCTGGAGTAGACTATGTCCAGCTCCAAACGCTTCTTTCGGGTTTCCTGGGGCCACGCTCCGTCTTTAAAATGGGCCACGACAGTCATGACCATGGTCTGTTTACGCACTCCGACTCACTACCGGGGTTTTAACATGACCCTTGGAACAAACCAGTTGATAGTTTCCTTCACAAGTAGGAGGGTTTCTACTTGTATGTCAGTCAGTTGGTTTGCATTTGTATCATCTTGTATAGACACACACCTCAGGCCTCACATGGAAGTGAACCACTTCGTTTCACCCATATAACTGTACTGTTTGTGTTCGTAGGTCTCCAGGTCCAGGGGAGTTGTTTTCATCTTCTCACAGTCCTGTTCGTCATCCTGCAGGAGATCGGATTGAACAATACACTGTTCACCTCTGCGTTGAGTCTTCTATAAGAGTTGTGTGTTGAACGAGTTTCCCCTTGAACATGTCACGCATAGGTGTGAAACCACCGAAATATGTTTCAAGTTTGTCTAGTAAATTCTCTCTCTATGTGTATATATATATATAGTAAGTATTCGTGTGGACTTCTTGGCAAAAACATGCCAAAACTCTACTTCTCGCTCGTAAGTTTTTTTGGTACGCTGCCCGCACCTCACAGGAGATACACTCCCCGGTGAGCAACCACACCATAAAGGAAATGACTCACCCAAATTGGGTGAGAAGAAATGAGATGGAACGGGAGAAGGACATAATGAGGTATGTCAAAAAGAACGCTTTGGACAAACCAATGCTTCCAAATACCTGTGTTCTGCGCTGGGTGCGCAAACAAACAAACAAACAAACAAGGAAAATAGACCCTGACTGATTGAAGGTGGTCTGCTGGCACATGCTCATCTACAAAAACAGGAGGAATCTTCTGTGGCCCCAGTTGCTGCTATTTGGTTCATGCAAAGGGCCCAAGCTTCCCAGCTACTGACCAAGCAAAGGCCTGTGTCTTGAGTCTTGAGACCTCCAAGTGTGGATGATTACAATAATTCCTGGCAACTGTGACAGCAGTGAAATCGGCAGGTTCAAAGTTGGAAGCCCTCTCGTTGGAGCACCACCCTTCCTGGATGCTTGAAACTTCAGAAACCGCCTTAGACTGTGATTCAACGTTGGCCGTTGAATTTTAGGCCGTCATCTACACTCCGACTCACTTGGATGAAAGTGGACACTTGCCCAAGTTTCCTCTACACTCTGTAAAAACGAACGTCTTCCACTTGCTTGTTCGGAGATTCACGTCCGCAAACCGCACCATTTAAGGTTTCATCAACAGTCAACGGTACACATTAGAGAGTTACCGTACTTCCCGCAGCGTTGCCGAGGCTCAGCGTAGATCCGTCGGCTTTCCACCACACTGGGCATGACCAGCCATTGTGTTCGGCTGCTCTGTTTGGGCGTGTGTCAAAGAAAGAGTGGGTCTTCCAATGAAGATAATGAAGTCCTTATAAGAACTCATTCCTCTTCAAGTGGGTCAAAACAACCAATCAAGTCTTCTGACCAGCTGGATCATCTGATCACCAAAGCAGGAGGATCCCTTGCCTCTTTATTAGTAGCAAACAACAAAGTATGGATTTGCCTCATCCGTTCAGAGAGGGAGTTTCTGCGTGGCAGTCAGGATCCTGAGACTCCACCTGGGGAGCCTTGAGCACTCTGGTCAGCTGGGATGCTGTTCCAATCAAGAATATGTTCGGCGGTGTGCTATGGTGTTGCGCTAAGCATCAACAGGTCAACCACCGCTCAAATGTGTTCAAATTACTATGTCTGCTGCAAGCTGCACATGTCCTTATCTGCTTGCAGCTTCGGCGTCTACGAACTGCACGGAGGATCCAAGGGTCCAACACGGTCCAACCATTGACCAGTCTTGTCCCTCTCATGACACGGAACTGCAAAGCCACTACTGAAAGCCACCCAGTTGCAGCAATCTCATCCAAAGCCTTGCACTTGCGCCATCCCGAAGCACACTTCTCACACGTTACAAAGAAGTTACCGTAATTAGAGGAATTCGATGCATCTGACACTACGTCCATGCGCGGTCCATGCTCATGTGTGTGTCTGGAAGCTTGAGATCTCAACAATCTCAACCCCCCCCACAACGATCCCACATCGCAGGTCGCATGGCAGATCCGTCCTTGGTTCCTATGCCTTGGGCCAGCGAGTCAAACCTCGGCGCAAATCCAAACGGAAACAACAAAGTCCTCACCGAGAAGAGAGAGCTGGCCTATATGGAGACGGCCTACGGAGCCTCTTGGAGCCACCAAACTCTACTTTCGTGGCCCCGGCGTCATCGTTTTGCATCGATTTGTAGAAAGAATGATCTTTCAAAAGGAGCTGATGTGCTCCATGATGCTCCATGTAACCTCGGTTTCTTCCTCTGTGTCCAACCCCACAAAGAGCCAAATCAAGTGGTTCAAGCTCCCTGGCTCCCGAAGCACCCGTCGTTGTCCAAATCACGGCGTCATTACAGGCGCTTTGCCACAACATCCCCGAGTTCACCTCACGTGCATCACTTCCGGTCTTTGCAAAGTACTTCTATCCTACTATATCCATCTATATCCTACTACGATCTTCCGTACCACCGAAGGACAGGCTCTCGCGCTGATCGTCTCCGACCGGCAGATTCCAGGGCTCCTCCCGAAGGCGGAGGTGTTGGATGGGATGAACCGGTCGACGGCGGCAAAATCCAGTGTGGCCAAACGTGAGCGTCAACCTCCCGAGGCGAGTTTCGCCCCGTGATGCCTCTCAGTCAGGGTGTGACCGTGCCTTGCCTCAAAGCTGGTGTTCTTTCGGCGAATCGGGTTGTGACTTCGCTTGACATCGGGACAGTTTGACAAGCACCATGCCCCCGAGGGTTACAAAGGATGTTCTTTGATGCAAGGCACACTTTGTCTGACATGCGTTAGCCTTAGCGCATCCAACAAGAATATATACAATAGATGACACATAGAGAAACACCTATGTAGAGACATGGAGAAACCACATATCAGCGGGACTCAATAAATATCTCGAAAAAAAAACATGAAGAAGCACACACACAATAAACCACGAAACATCACGAAACAGAATCCTGTTAAAATCGTTTGGTGAAGACCCCTGTCAAAGCTCATTCATCACTTCGATCCTATCAGCGATCCCGGTCTCGCGCCCCCACCTCTGCTGGGAGTCGCGGCCGGAAGGGCCTTGGGATGCACACGGCCCGGTGGCTCTGAGGGCTGAAACTGCTGTCGTCGCTGCGTCTTGCGGCTCATTAGGCTCATTGTTCCTAGTAGCTTCTTGTTAGTAGTATGGCCAGTAGTGATGCCCTTTGCTCCTAGTAGCTTCTTGTAGGCAAACATAGACAAACCCAACTTGGATCATCTTGGGTCCGAGTCCGAAGCTGTTCATGGCCGGTCAATCTCACTAAGTTCCTCGCAATCCGCACGTTGTTTTTCTGCTCCCAGCCGCGCCAAGAACTATATAAGTCTTGGCCGCTCTGAATTCCAATATGTGGAACAAATTCCTGGTGGCAAACTCACGGCTGCTCCTTGTCCAAGTCTTTCAACAGGCTATGCCTGATGCTGAAGCCAGGAAGCCATACTGCTGTCTTCGAAAACATAATACTAGAGAAATACTTAAAGAAATGTATAAATGCTTCAACTCGACTAACAGGACAAGCACTAGGACAAGCAACTACAGTACACGCCAATCAAGTGGTTCAAGCGTTCAACTACAGCTGCGGAAAAAAAAAACATATATATATATATTTATGACATTATACATTCTATATCTACGGTAATTGTATATTGTGCCCTCCTAATCCACAGGCCGATTGGCTTGTAGCCAAGAAAATGCATTTTTGTTGCAGTCAGGTAGCAGTTTGATGCACGGACTCTCCTGTGTCCCACCATTTTGTCGTACAAGAGTGTCCTATAATTTGTTCAATAAAGTCCAAATCATGGCCAAGTTGTGAAGAAAAAAGGGACCTCATTGCTAGCTGAAAAACGTCTTCGAATCCTGTACCACATGCATCTGCCCTACGCCGATACTTGGGCCCCGCCCCCCAAAGCCGCACAGGGTGCCTCAGCCGGCCTAGCAGCCCCAGCTGCGCCGCGGACGCCGCCGCTGCGCGGCTCACGCGCGCCGCGGCGGCGTTCAGCGCGGCGGTGGGACCGGCACCGGTCAAGGCGATGCAGTGCGGCCAGGGAGCCCTACGAGGCTGGATGGGGCTGGAAACGGAGAGATTCCGGAGTTTCACCTTCGCCTGCTATAATTAGTGACTTCAAAACGGAACATCGTCCGCAGCTCGATTGATCTAGTCTTGCTGCCCCATGTCAAGGATCTCGCCACCCCCAGCTACCATAGCTACTAGGTTGGAGGCCATTGCTACCAGGCCGCTACCGGTTGGTGCGTCGTCACCCCACCAGCCGGTGCGGTCTCGACCGACCGTCTGGAGCCTTGAAGAACATGCCTCAAGCACGGTGACCTCGGTCACGCGCGATGCTTCCAATGAGCGCTGTTGGAGCTGCAGGAAGAAGCCGAGAGCAGCAAGCCACTGGGCGCACCTGGGCGCCAGACGCGATGTGTCCAAAGCAAGAGACTGGTCAACAAATATGATAACGATTGGACGCCGGAGTCCAAACGAACAGTTCTAGACCTTGGTTGACCGATGTTGACTGCCTCGCTTTGTGGTAAAGTGAAAACATCCGTAAACATCCCTCCCGGTGTCCTACACATGCCTGGCACACCAGCGGCAAGGACAATCCTGACTCAAACCACAAGCCTGGTAAGTTTGGTCGAAGTCACAGGTGCCACAAAAGAGGCCCTCCATGAAGGGTTTGATACCCAAGCATGAGGTGATCTACATGCCGGTGGCCACCCTACTCATTTTCCTTTTTGAGGTCGTGGACATACATATGGACAATGAATTTGGAGCACTGGATGATTGATTTTCCTCAATGAACCTGCGGTTGAAAAGGAATCGATGTTAGTTAGTCCGTGGGGCGTGGCTTGCCACTAGGCAAATTTGCAACAATTTGCCATTGCGTGCTACCTCCGGTCCACATCAGCCGCAGAAAAAGAAACACACTCTGAGCATTTTGCCTGGAGTACCCCAACTTGTGTGAATTTGATGATGCACTCAACCAAAGCTCTATACAAAACGCGTTATTGGTTTTTGTGAGTTTGGCCTATGGCGCCTATGGCCTTTCGCTGCTAGACTTGAGCTAGCGGGGCTAGTATCGCGCAAAAAAAGGTCTCTTGATCGATCCTGAACACACTGAAGTCATAGACTTGGAGCTTGAACCGTTCGTTCCCGTTCAGTTGCCAATTGTTAACTCGGGAGCCCGCCTGCTACAGGCGCAAAGGCATGCATTCCAGGTCAAAATCTCGGCTTGGGTGGCGAAGGATTCCAGGAGCCTAAGGCTTGTGAGCACATCATCGACACCTTCAGTATACGAAGGGTGGAGCTGTCGAGGTTCCAAACTCTGGTGACTCTGGTGATAGTGATGGTCAAAAGCCTCAAGGGGATGAGGCTTATGATGCTTTGGATTGCTTTGGGCAGCAGGTAGAGGAGCTTCACTCCACATATTGTATTGAACTTGGATGATTTGGGCAGCCTCGTTGCTATCGACCAGTCCCCTAGCCATGGCAGCCATATCCTGAGAAGTTAGGAATGCTCCTTATTCTAGTTGAACTTCCACTGGGCCAATCTTGGACACACACGTCTCTCTTATTGACAAGTTGTTTGCTTTGCCAACTGTTGATTCAAACATTCTCTGGTGGCCGGGCGGAACATGCACCTTGTCTGGGCGCTCTGTTGGAGCACTGGTCTAGGCAAACTTTGAACCAATCGGTCCAGTGGAGCTCCAAACGCATCCAGCTGCGACCAGCTTTAGGACACTGGCACCACGTTTTTCCATCAAGAATTCCCACGCGAAAACATATTGGATGATATTGGGCTAGTCAGGCTACTTCGTAACTCACATTTGCCCGGAAGGTTCTGAACCTGGCCGTGCCCTATGATACTTCCAGCAAACTACGGCATTCTATCCCTCCCCATCCAGTCATTCTATCCACGAACTACTCACCTTTTTTGCACCAGGTCACCCAGTTGCCACCCTCCAGCGGTCCAGATCATCGCCAGCACTGATGGCACTCAAAGCGCTGTTCAAGGTGACCTCGACGTCCCAAGGATATGCTGGTAGATCAAACTGAATACATGGATCCGAGCCCATGGTTCGTAACGTCTGTCATGGTTTTTAGGATGTTGGTGATTGATCCATTGCTGTTGCCACCAACCCATGTTCATGATAGTTTGATTGTGTGCGGCGCTGCTCTCGACCCATTGCAACCCATGTACAGCATCCGGCACGGCCCAATGAAGAAGTCGAACATCGCATTCACAGCTCCCCAAGCTTTTCCCACTCACCTTTGGGCTTTAACTGTGGATTTTGGCGATTGGCCGACCAATCATTGGGCTTGGACCCCATTCACCTCCAGCTTGGACCCGACTGCTCTCCGACCTCTGACACCCGAGCCGCGTTCTGAACACGATCAACACCATGCTACGAGACGCGCGTACCCTCCTTCCAACCGGCTGAGAAGGATCCCTTTTCTCGAAACAGATATGCTCCACTTCTAGAATCATCTGAGGGAGGGCAAGCCACAAGGTGCTCTCATTCAAGCCACCCACCCAGATGTTCGACCAGCTGGCGGTCTCAAGGGCTTCTCCCTGACTCTTTGCCCGGTCAATGTGCCTTGGACCAGTGGGCGTTGTTCAGCTCAGCTCTGTCCACGACAGCATGTCATGTACCAACTCTGAACAGTGTCCAATGTAGGAAGAAACACCCGGCAATTCTAGCACATCTGTCCAACAATGCTGATCATGAGTCATGCCCAAACAAAAACTATTCTGAGAGCCCGAGACTGTCAAACCAAAGAGAAACACCCCCGTTTGGGCACCCTAATCACCTTGAAATATCACAAGAAAACAAAACAAAAGAAACAAACACATGTTGTTCAGCCTTAAACCCGGCACGGCTGACGATCGTCAGCTTTCTCAAGGCACTTCATGGCCCTACTCCAGCAAGCTGAGCGTTCCAGGCTGCTCATGAGTGTGCCCTGCCTCGGCTCCGCAAACTGTGCCGACGTTTCGGGTGTGAGCGCGATCAATGGGAGAAGGATGAATTTGTTGGGACTGGGTGAAATGAAATGACATTCATCAATGCTTTTGGGGGCTACAATGTGTGTTTTCATGTTCAAACTCTCATGTTGTCAAAGTCATATTGAGAGATTGATGATCAACCTACTATAGGGAAGTAGCGCCAGCTTGGTACAAAAGCAACGCCAGCTTGCTACATGATTGTTCTCTCTGTTTTTTTTTTCTCTCTCTCTCTCTCTCTCCCCCTCCCTCTGTCTGGGTGATTTGTGGTATGTCAGCAGCCTAACATGCATTCCTTTGCAGTGAGGAACACTGTAACACTGCATAGGATGCAGCATGGAGGTACGACCGTTTGGGCGTCAGCCCCCAGCCAGGCTGCGTGAAGCTATCCTTTATCTTGGCCCGCCTGGACGTGACTGTCTGCTACAGCTAGCAAGGCCTTCTGAAAGCGATCAGAATCCAAATCCATATAGATATATATTATATATTGTGTTCACCAGAGGTGGCTTTATTCTAGAAATCAACAAACTTGAAAAAAAACAAACAAACAAGAAACACCAGCAAAACAAAGAGCAACCAAGAAAGCAAGAAAAAAACAGTGCAACCAAACATGCACAAGCAAAACAAAGAGCAACCAAGAAAGCAACAAAAAAACAAAAAAATGCAACCAAAAAAACACAAACAAAACACAGAGGGTAGTTTGGAGGGGCCGGGTAGGGTTAGTACCGGACAAGGGTCTTTTCTGGTGCCGGGTCAAGTGTCGCACTTTTGGTCGCTTTCTTTCTGGTGCTGGGTCAAATGTCGCACTTGTGGTCGCTATTTTTCCGGCGCCGGGTCAGAAGTCGCACTTTTGGTCGCTTTGTTTCCCTTTTTTCCGGGGCCGGGTAAAAAGTCGCACTTTTGGGTCGCAATTTGTTCGCTCTTTTGTTCGCTCTATTTTTGCTTTTTGCGAAAAAGAAAGAAAGCGAAAAAAGAGCGAACAAAAGGCGAAACAAGGCGACGTTTTACCCGACCAAAAGTGCACCAGAAAGTGGACCCTCCCCCAAAAGTGCGCCAGAAAGTGCGCCAGAAAGTGGACCCTTCCAAAAAGTGCGCCAGAAAGCCCGGCTGAGTTGTTCCATTTTTGCTTGCAATTGTGTTTGCTTTTGTTTGTGTGTTTTATGATTGCTTTTGCTTTTTCTGGCTGCATTTTGTGATTGTTTGTTTGCTCTTTTTGGCTCTTTTTTCAAGATGATAAATTTCTAGAATAAAGGGGTCTGGCAAACACAATATTATATATATGTATATATATAATATATAATAGAGATGTGTGTAATGATGGTTTTGTTGGAATGTAACACGAGGCAGCAGTATTTCCTCAACGTTTTCCAACAAAGTGAACTGCGACAATAACTTAGTGGTTGGCAAATCTTCCTGAAGAGATCCCCTTTTCAATTCTTTCCTGTCGCTTGGATTCCCTGCATTTGGACTCTGGGTTCTAGCGATTTCACCAACGCTGACTGGTCATGGACTCTGGGTTCTAGCGATTTCACCAACGCTGACTGGTCAAGTGTCAGGTGCGAGGGTGCGAGGGCAAACTGGTAAAACTAGAACTTTGCACCACAAAGTGTCACAAGAGTTGCTAGCAAGCCTGTCTGACCGTGCATTGTCATATTGTCTTGTCTTGTTTTGTCGATGCTTGCTCTTTTCTGTTTATTTTCTTTTGTTGTCAGGTTTGTCTTTCTGTCTCATTCCCTGCCCTTCCCGTCCCTTCCCTTCCCTTCCTTCCCCTTCTAGTTTTGCTTGTCTCGATCCCTATAATAATTGTTTTGTGTTTTGTTTTTGATCCCTGTTTGTTTGTTTGATCCATACTTGTGCTTTTCGAGGGGCCCCTCTCCCGGAAAATATCATTCTATATACAACAAGTACAACAAGTCCCCCAAAAAATTGAGCTGGAGAGGTCCTTCTCTTTGTGTGATTGCTAGTTGCTCGTCTCAATCTGCCTGATGATCTGCAAGGCCCACTGCCAGCGACCCAGCAGGGAAGCCACAGACATGTTTACTGTACTGGCGCTGGCTGCGCGCAAGGCACACAACCTCCAGGTGCACTGGACGGTGGAGGCTGCCATTGCAGCTTGGGTGGAGGACCGTGTTGATAAGAGGCTGGTGGAACAGTATCTATAATTTTAGCCAGCAACAACAAATTACTGCAGCTGTGTTGCAATCGTTTGAAATGGCCAGGTGCAACAAAGGACCCAAAGGTCGGAGAAACAAATTGCTGTTCCCAAGCAGTGGTGTGTGAGACTCTGGCGTGCTCTGTTCTTTGGGGGTGCGCTACTCACCATCCCTTCCATCAATGCATCCGATTTTTATGAAAGATGATTCAACTCGACATTCCTTACTACTTCTATATATATACACATCGCTCGGCCTTGTTAGGCCAAATAAGCGCCCATGGCCCCTGAACTGAGAAACTGCTTCGATATGCTTCGATCGCGTCCAGCCAAGGTTAGAACCCAACCATTTCCGAGCCAAGGCACGAGACCATGAAGGACAGCGAAAGTGTCCACTGAAAGCACCTGAGGTAGTGAGTGTCTCTCTCTCTCTCTCTCTGTCTCAGGTCTCAATGCCCTGATCGTCACGCTGAACGGCAAAAAAGAAAAACTCCCTGCGACCTTTGGACAACGGACTGCAGCTGACTATCCACTAGACGTCTCGTCCCGACTATGATCCCACCTATAGAACCCGACGCGTGGGTGATGAGCATCGAGAAATGGTAAGTCTGAAGAGCCCAACATGGCCTGTTGGAAGAGAAACATAAGGGGAACTCGCAGAGTGGCAGTGACGACTCTTTCTTT